AGGCAGATTGTTTCTACAAAAACAAAAAAAAAGTGCTATAATTATGGCTGTCACAAATTAAAAGCAGCATAGCACGTAACATGACATTCACTTGACAGATAAAAGGACACAAGCCGATTACTAGGCTTGCAGGAGTTTTAAAGATGGCTGACCCGGGTGTGATTTTGGTCTCTGCTTGTATAATGAGCTCTGCAAATTAAAAAAGAAAAAAAAGGGCAAAGTCATCCGTTCTGAAAGACCTCAAAAAAGAAGAGCAAAAAGATTCTGTTTTCTAATGTAGTGTTTAAGGATATGTGGAATCAAATGGGAAAAGAAGCTTGAAGAAACAGAAAAACAATGCAGTGATAGTCAAAGAATACACTGGAGAAACCATCTGACTGTACAAGCGCTGCCAATACTTTAGATTATTGGATGGGCTGGAAAAAGGAGAGTGTTGGTTTGTGTGAGAAGTAGAAAAGACTTCCTGGGATCCACTTTCTATTACTAATAGATTTTGTATTATTACTATTAGTTTGTGTGATATACATAAGACTTCCTTTCTAATACTGATATTATATACACAAAACATTTCCTGGGATTCTCTATTGCCAATACATTAATTTTTATTTGATTGTTAGTTTGTGTGATAAGTATAAAAGACTTCCTGGAATTCTCTTTCTATTGCAAATGTCTTGATATTAATGTTATTTGATTGTGTGATACAAACAAGACTTTCTGTAATTATTTCTAATGCTACTATCATATCATCATTATTATTATTATTTTGTGCGACTACCTGGAAATCGCTCTATTGCTTACACTGAGATAATGATAATATTATTATTATTAGTGGTATTCATAAGACTCCCTGGGGTTCTGTTTCTATTCCAATAGAAGAATCAATATTATGATACAGGACTATATAGTGCCAAGCTTTACAAAACAATATTGTTAGGGGCACATCAGCAGTCTTAACACTGATCTCCAGAACGCCAAAATGACAGCCTGCCCAGTAGCCTACTGGTATGTCAGTACCTGCTCCAGTTCCAAAGCAGAACTAGCCATTCTCTCTTAGCAATGGCCTCCTTTCTCTCCTCCTGCTCCATTAACGCACAATACAACTACTGCATGTCTACTCCACCCTCAAGGTTAAAGTTTGGGTTATGAAGCAACTCAGGAGAGCCATGTCTGTTTCCCTGCCAAGCACTGGAACTGTAGTGTAGTTGTGAAGAGAGGGTATTTTTAACATGCTGCATTGTGTCACAGCCACCATGTTTCTCCATCTTCCAGCACCAACTCTGGCCCCATTTTCCCTGCAGATCGGTGCCTAGATTTCTCAACACATCCGGCAATCAGTCAGCCTGACATACTTTTCTGGCTCTTTGTTCCACTGATGGGAACATTCAGAAGTCCGATTGGAAAGAGTTTTAGAGAAAAGAAGAATCATCATCATTGCCACAGGTTATTGTGCAGCGTGGGGCCATGGTGTCATGCTGTGTCAACCTCGGTGGTGTCATGTTATGATATGGTGCCCCCTCTCTGCACACACACAAAGGATTGGGGGCTCGGGCGCCATATTGAATACTTTCTGGAGGCCCCCCTGTGCTCTCTCCACACCCCCCTCCCCCCAAAAACATAACTATTACAGGCGATCACCTAGAAACAAGAGATTTCGTTACAATAGACAGAAAACTTCCGGGAGTTCCAGCCTCCGCCATCCTGATACTGATCCGATCATGCAGTCCCTTGCTGGGGGGGGGGTTCTGCAGTAGAACCCCAAAACTAGCACCTTTGGGGGTATCACTGAGCATATGGAAGAGGTAGAAGATAGTCGGGGTTCTCTTTCCCGGGGAAAATACCCCCCGCTGAGCCCTAAAAGGGGGGCGGGTATAGATCAGCCATTACCGGGGGCACCTGAACACAATCACCACCCCCCGTGCTATGTGCGGGACATCATTCATTAGAAAACGGAGCGTGGGTTCATGTCCACTCGCACGCGGCTCTCCGCCCCCCCCCTCCTCCCCTCATACTCACCGGCGGCGGTCGGACTTTGCAGATCCCAGTGCGCTCCGCGATAGGTCGGATCTTGTTAATAAACGCAAACGGGTCAGCAAATTCCTCCCGGCTGGGCTCGAATACCGGACACTCCGGTGGAGGTACAAACTCCATGTCGGCGCCGGCGAAACTAACCGGGGTAGATCAACTGGCACCTACCCCGGCTCTATACCGGGTGAGTTGCCCGTCAAGGAGGCGGAGCGAGACAATCCAACCGACAGAGAACGAGAGAGGCCGCACTAAGCACAGCGATGGCAGGTGTCCATCCGCCGAGTAGGGGTGGTTGAGAAGAAGTAGTCCCAGTGTGTACTCGGCTCACGTCTGTCATTGATCAGCCTGCACACAATGATCTGGCTATACATGGTCCATCTTGGGCAGACCCCTACAGACAAGCTGATTTCATGACCCTGCCCATGCAGGGGCTGGCTTGCTGATTATTTTCTATCATGCGCTGCCATCCTCCCATAAATTATTGGCGTTTCACTGTAAATGGTGCACTTGAAGCATGTGTAATCACTGGATTAAAAAGTTCCCTGAGAAGCTTGTAAATTACAATGTTTCTATTGGATAGCTATACAGTACATACTAAATCAGTAACGTGCCACTACAGTCATGAGGATACAGACTCCGGTATACTAGTTGACTCCTTTTATTTTAAATCATATACAAGTAATATTCAACGAAGGCCTTAACATGAAGCCGAGTAACTATGGAGGAAAAATCCATCCTGCGAACAGCGATTGGCCCAGCCCTCCGATACTGACAGATCCCACCCCATCTAAACCAACTGGCTTCCAACTGTGGGATCTACTCCTTATGTTTACATGGGCGGAAGGATTTGTATACAGCTGACTGCCACACCATCGCCGGCACTTATTTTTTTAAAGAGCCTTCTTCTGTCCCCGGATTGGTGGAGGGAGTGGCGACGTCAGGATAGAAGAGGGGCGTGTACTACGAGCTGTATCTGGGAGTTCATTGTCTACAATGAGCGTGTAACCTGGTCACGTGATCCGGCCTGAGCGGAGAGAGAAGTGAGCGGGCGTGTCATATAAAGCCTAGTCCTCCTTCTATTATGTGTGATAGTGTATTACATCGATGAGTAGTGTGACATGTCGGGGCTCATTTATGAAAAGCTCTTGTCCGCAGCTACCAATCAGATGCCTTGTTCCTTTTAGTCATGAAGCTGTTGCCGTGGCTTACAGCTTTACTATTGCTCGAGTAGTTTACAGCTTTACTATTGCTGTAGTTGCCATAAATTAGCCAATGTATATATGGGTGTTGAACGTGTAAAATTAAAGCTGAACTTCAGACACAAAACTTTAAATATATTCCTCAATAGTTACAAAGGATATAAATCCACTCTGTGAGTGCCAACTGCCTTTGCAAACCCAGTTTATACCATATAAAAGTAGCAGTGACTTCATCATTGTGCTGTACATAGCTTGTGTAGCGAGCGCAACTGTGGGAGGGGTCTAGCAGGACCACCCCCTACAGTCTGTCTGTAGGAAATGACAGGAGGAGGTATTAAAGCTCTATGTGTCCCCAAAAAAGGGTATAAAATTAATTTCAGTACAGCGCTGCATGACGGAATAAATGTCAGTCAAAGTACCACAGCGCTGAATACTGAAAAATGGCCTGGATGGGAAGGGGGTTTAACACCCCGGATGTCAACTGGTTAAAGAATTATGGTGAGCGTGAAATACACTCATCCCTATAATAAGAGCCGACGTGTGACAATGAAGCTGTCACATTGGCTCTATTGATCGCAAAACTGAGCAATAACATACCGTTGATCGCTCAGTTCCCGATCTTCTCCCTGCAGAGAGCGGTGGCTATCAGTCACTGCTCACTGCAGGGATTCCACCTCCCCTCTCTGTTCCTCCAGCGCTGACAGACGGGGAGGGGGCGGACACAGCTGGCTCTAGAGAGGCAGATCCAGCTGTCAATCAGGCGGCGGGGTGGATCCCGACAATATTATCGGGATCTGTTCCTGCTGCAGCGCAGCAATAGCCCGCTATATGCTGCGTTTTGGGTCACAGGACAATTGTAAATGTCCTCTTGTGATTCTGAAGAGAGCTACGGCCAAAAAAGGTTGGGCCACGGTTCTCTTTTAACACAGGAAGCTGCTGCACAGAGGGAAAGTTTCACACTGGATTACTGCACAGACCTAGAAGAAATGCAGAAAGCTCACCAAGATTCAAGTAAGAATACACATGGCTCTTGTATTTAGACCATATTTGCTTATCCCAGAGTTCAGCTTTAAAACTGACTGTGAAGTGTAATGACCATGTAAGTTTACCGCTGCTGCTGTGTTAATACATACTCACTCTCGCGAGTCTCTGCTTTCTTGCTTGCAACCCCTTGTGACTAGCGACATCACAGGGGTTGGGATTTTGTATTAACGCTGTACATGCACTTTCAAATTAAAGGAGAACTATGAGATGAGTGATTTCCACTCACCTCATAGTTCTAGCCGACCTGTGACAATGAGACTGTCACAGGTCGGCTCAGTAGATCGGGAGGTGAGAGAACACATACCGGGTTCGCTCACCTCTCGATCCCGTCACGGCTCTCTGCCGTGACAGGGGGAGGGGCTGGATTCCCCTCTCCCCGCTCCGATCTGCCAGCGCTGACTGGCAGAACGGACCGGGGAGGGGGCGGGTACAGCTGGCTCTGCCTCTAGATAGGCAGAGCCAGCTGTCACTCACGCAGCTGGGCGGATCCCGACGTCCAGGTCGGGATCCGCTCCGGCTGCGGCGTCTCAGTATACCGCGAGATACTGAGCTTAGGGTAACGGGAGGACGCTAGTTTGTGTCCTCCCGTTACCCTAAGGAGAACTATGGGGGAAAACACTGACCCCATAGTTCTCTTTTAAAGAGAGGCTTGGCTCCTGTTAGATCTGCGCATTTGCGGGATTTGTTTTTACAGTCCGTGGTGGGCAGTAGAACAGAAAGTGGAAGTATGCAAGATGGCGCCAGCTTTAATAAGGGAACGGGCGTAGAGCAGCCTACACCCGAAAACAAAGTAAGGGCACTTACTTTCTTATCTAACATTAGCTGATATAAGCGAAAGGGGAGCTGGGGGTTTTTACATGCAGCTGAGTTTACTTCCAGAAATGTTACCAACAGAGCTCATCTACCGAAGACTAGAACCTCAGCTTTGGGTGGACTGATTCTTTAATGTGCATTCATGCTATGTCTTGCACTAGCCTTTACTTCCATCCACAGTACAATTCTTTACCACTGTCTAGTCCTGCCTGCAGTCATATAAATGTGTTGTCAGCGCAACCCTTGTTAATGTATTCATCACTTTTATATAATCTGAACGAAAAAAAATCTCACTCTGCAAAGAAATCTGAGTTGTTTACTGCAAATGCGCAGCCATGAAATGAATTGGAGAATATAGCTGATGTAAAAAGGACGTCGGGAGTCTAGAGGCAGGTACTGTATATACAGTGAGGGGAATTTATCAAAACAGGAGCAGACAAAATCTGGAGTAGCTGTCCATTGCAACCAATCAGCTTCTGTCTTTCATTTTCTAATCTTAACTGAACAAACTGAAGAGAGAAGCTGATTGGTTGCCACGTTGCTCCAGTTTTGATAAATTCCCCCAGTATATGTTTTCCATCCATTGACCTTTTACTGCTTTACTGGAAAAGCCTTTACTAGCCTTCCATTCAATTTTTTGGGGTACAAGAATCCCCCAGTTGTTCTGTCTGAGGCCCGATGCAAACCTGAGCAATCCGAGACTCGTGTGCCGGGATCGTGTGGGCCTGCACAATTGCAGCGATTGCCGTGCAGCCCCATTGATTTCAATGGGATACATACGTGCGGCAATCGCAGAAAAAAAGGTACATGCACCTTTTTTTTTTTGCGGTACACGATGTGCGGCTGTTCATGTTCGGATGCACGGGCGGAATCGCGTTGGCAAATCGCGGGATCCGCCCGGCGCGACTGGGGTGCCATTAGAAAATAATGGCACCCGCAGTATGACCATCTGTGATGGGTGACTCCGTGATCGTGCCGCAATCCGAGTTGTATCGTGCCCGATTGCCGTACGGTCACAGATCGCCCAGGTGTGCACCGGCCCTGAGCCTTCACACACTATAAAGAGAAAATGTCCTCTGGGTGACCCATGTACACAATGTAATAAGCAGTCACTAAATGCAGGAGCACTTAGATCAGGTGAACACAAACGAAAACGGCAGAGAAAGCACGCAGGGATTGTGTTCACACTCGCGCCGTTTTATTTTGAGTGGAAACCTGCACTACTATTGTTAGCACCATATTAAAACTTCAATAAAGTTTGGTCCCCATAATTCTCCTGTTCCCCTTTCACTGTTTCATGCGCTAGATGACACTAAGGCTGCATTCACACATAGGCGTCAAGGTTTTTGCGCGGTTTAACCTAACGTATTTTGTTTGTTTTTACACATTTGTTGCACATTGTTACGCAGATTAGAAGCGCCCATATGCAGTCAAAAGTCTTGCTAGGCAGATCAAAAACATTGCAGTTAATGGGGTAACGCGTGTTAAAACACGCATTCAAATATGGGCCGTGCGTTTTACAGGTTTTTCCATTGAATTGTATGGGGCCAAACGCACGCAAAAACGCCCCAAAGAAGCTCAGGAACTTTTTTGACGACAGGCATTTTGCCTAGGTGTAAATGGGGCCTAAAAAAGCAGTATTATCAGGCCCGGATTCCCTGCAAGGCAACCGGGGCGGCAGGGCGCAGAGGGGCGGCAGCGGTGTCCTTGTGGGGAAGTTCCAGCCATCGGGCGGTAAGTTGCCCTCTCTACATTTAGTCCTGATTTGCACAAGCAGGACTAAATGTAGAGTGAGGCAGCCGATTGTTCGTTTACATGTGAACTCGGCGATGTCGCTGAGATCACATGTAAACAGTCTGCAGCCGGCCGGTCCGTCCTCCCCCCTGCACTTACCTCTCTCCTCTGGTTCCGTCCTCCGCGCTCTGCCGCCGAGTCCATCTCATCACTGCAGTGAGCGGCAGGGTTAAAGGTAACCCTGCCGCTCCGTGTAGACAGTGAGAGGGAAGAGCTGTGCTCTTCCTCTCTCACAGGAGTTGCAGCACAGTGCTGTGCTAGAAATCCTGTATTGGAGGTGACAGGGTCAATAAAGAGAACCTGTCACCTCCAATTGCTATCACATCACACGATTGTTTTCTTCTGTGTGATGGCAATAAAGTTAGGTGGAAAAAAATGTAATTGATAAATAAAATACAAAATTAAATAAATACAAATTTTAAAAAATTATATAAAATAATTAAATTAAAAGGTCATTAAAAAGTAAAAAATAATTTAA